GCCGGGGGCCTCTTCCCGCGCCCCGCCGGTCGGGGCTGCCGAGGTCTGCGCGGTCTCCGGGCTCCGGCCGCCCCCGGCCGCTGCCGCCAGAGCCGCCAAAGCCGCCGCCGCCGCCGCCGCGGGAGCCGGAGCTCGGTCCTCCCTGCTGGTCTCTGGGAGTCGCTGCGCCGTAGCCGCGGCGGCGGGCTCCATTGCAGTGGGGCTTCGCGCTTCGCCCCCAGCTCCGGAGGCAGCGGGAGGAGAGGGAGGCGATGAGGCGAAGGTGGGAGACGGCGGCGCGGGGAGAAGGGAGAAGCCAATGGCGTTCCGCGCGGCCGTTCCAGGGGATTATGTGGCAATTCGGAGCATTCCGTCGGTGTCTCGGTGTTCCATTCCGCGCGCCCGCCCGCCTAGCCGCCACCGCCCCCCCACACACGCCCTCCCCGCCCGGGTCGCGGGCTCTGGAGCGCAGGCCCCGCCCGCTCCCCCCACTTTGCCGGGGCGAACCAGCCGCGTAGCTGGGCTCATTGAATATTAATCACGCGCCGGGAGCGGGAAGGCGGGCGGCGGGCAGGGCGGGAACTCCACGAGGGCCTCATGAATATGCATCATTAGCATGACGGCATTCCTGGGAGAAGTGGAGAGAGCTGGAGGACGGCGGAGAGGCGGGGCTTCAGGGTAAACAAACGTGACGCGTGCGTACGAGGGCGGGGCGGGGGCGGGGGCAGTATCCCGGGAGGTGCCTGCGATGCCTGGGAGAGGGGCCGGCTGGGGAGAGAGAGAGAGAGAGAAGACACACACCCACAGACGCGCGCTGCACTTTGGGAGTTGTAGTTCTAGCGCTGGAACGAACATGCCGAAGGAAACAGGGCGAACCACAGGCCCCAGAGTTCCTTATTTTATGCCCCTCCTTCAGCCAGCCGCCGGCTATGGGCAGTGGGTATTGTGCCCTCTGCTGTTAAACTCTGTGCCCGGGAATGTTCTTGTTCGTTAATTTGTGCCCAACCCGCCCGTTCCCGCTCCCCAGAAGACTTTCGTTTTCCCTGCTAATTTAAAGTGAGGGCTTTGAGGGACGCTAACCGGTACGAAGGTCCCAGTTCCTTGGTTCTCACCTCCACCCATTGTATGAGATGCAAAAACACGCCCACAGCACCACAGGATAACTGGCCATAAAAGTGGCCAACCTCACTTTCCCCACTTTTTCAAGTCCAGGGGAAGACAAAGTCCAATGGGCAATTGTTGAATACGCGTTTTCGAAATCGTGCAACCTGGAGCCTATCCTCTTCCACAGCCATATGCGGGAAGGAAAAGGCAAAGGGCTGCTGTCTTGTTTTTTCCCATTGACCTTAAAGTCTGAAGTAACTTAACGACAACGCAAAGCAGTGGAAAGTAGAAGAAATGGACTGGAGACGTGGGATATGAGATCGGTCCTGTGTGTTCCCTGTTACGTCTTACGTTGGTTTTTCTTAAAACATTAAGAGAAAAAAAAAAAAAAACGTTTTCTGCTCCTACAATGTTTAGTTGTGGTCTGAAAAGTTGCATTTTCTCATCGATTTAAACAATATTGTAGGCTAGACTAGAACAGGTTGCTATTCAAAACAATTTAGTAAACATTTGTAATTGAATTACCATCCCCCCAGATTTATTTTTATAAGTTTTCACATGTGAGACTTGTCAACTGCCTCTATCCAGGGCCTCCCTTAACTTCAATAGGGTTAGTAAACCTGGAGGGACATTAGGGGGTGGGGGCAAACAAGCAAGGAGAGAAAAGAGAGAGATCAGGGGCACCTGTCTGGGTCAGTCAAGGGAGCATGAGACTCTTGATCTCCGGGCTGTGAGTTTGAGCCCCATCTTGGGTATAGAGATTATTTAAAAATTAAAAAAAAAAAAAAATCTTTTAAAAAAATCAGCTGGAACTTGTCGCTGAAATAATAGAAATTGGTAAGGGCAAGTAAAGCCATACTTAGGTTATCTACACTGTTTCTCTGAAGAGGAATGGAGGAAGCTACCAGTATGAAAATAAATATTTCTCTTGATGCTGGAAAGTCTTGAGAATGATTTTCTATATCTTTCTTTTGAAGTCTTACCCCTTGGCCTCATGAAACTAATTTTTATTGCATTTCATTTCAATCAACAGAACCAAGTTCCATGTTTTTAAAAATAGGGGGAATGCACATTCTCCCAAAAGAGATAAGATAGTCATGTCAATTAATTTAATAAAAACTATAAACATATTATATACTAGTCACTGTTAAGCAACCAAAAAAATCAGACACTGCCCTTGCCTTCACAGAGCATATAGATTACAAAGAAAGTCAACAAGTGAGAGCGATCTAGAAAAGGGAAAATTATAAGGTGCCATGGGAAAAGACAAAAAATACAAGGGGAACTGACCTTGTCCAGGAAGTCAGACAAAGAGACTACCATTGGATGAATTTTTTTGTAACGAAACTGGGTACTTGCTGAAGGATCTGTCTCTGAAAGAAAGCAAAGAGGCAGAAAAAAGGTAATGATACTGAAGATAAATTTCAACTACACTAATCCATATGTTGCCTTGAGTAGCTCCTAACACAAACTGTTCTAGACATGAAAAGAATGGTATTTTAATTTATCTTTTATTTAATATGATTAAAAAACAAAAGGCATGTTAAATTTCAATGCTAAAACATAGACTGTTTACACAGTCTTCAGTCTTTATATTCATTAGTTCCTTAGTGGATCTCCTACAAACCTGTTTAATTTTTGCTATTGAAGAAATGTATGTTAACTCCCATATAGCTAGCTGCTTTCTAGAGGTATATTTGTTTAGCTAGTGTAACAAACTCAGGAAACGTTTACTCTAATCATAAATACGGTCACTATTGGCCTAATGTCCATTTGCACCCTAAGAAATTGTAGTACTGTACTTAATCTAGCTCTGGTTCCTGTCATTCAGCTTTATGCAATCACTGCCTTTTTATCCTCTAGGAATTTTGTTTAATCTCTGAAGGTATTTATAACCAAAACACCTCCTTTTCAAGGGGGAAAATTTTAAAGAAAAGGCATAGCTCAGAGAATTTAGTGTCCAAAGTACTGGAGGTGGGAGGGGTTGGGAGTCATCATACGCTCCTGCCCTACAGCTGTGAGGAATTACCGATTTGGGAAGAGGAGGGAAATAATGAATAAGGTTAATGTTAAAGTATCTCAGCATAAAGAAAAAAGGATATACATTCCAGCCTACAAAACAAAACAAAAAATCCTGTGTTGGGGGATAGGGCAGGGAAGAGAAAGAAGATAGAATATAATTGTTACATAGATAAACGATTTCCTGCACAGTGTCTATAGTCTGAAAGATGCCATATTCCATTGTACCCAGCGTAATAAAAATCAGAGGTGAGGGAAGAACAGAAGAATAAGGGTTCACAGTGTGATCCATCCCTTGTTCCACCTCCAAACCTTCAATAAAGTTACTAAACTTGGGGGTGAGAGGAGAGACAGAAAGAAGATGGGAGTTCATAATGAGTAGACGGTCCCCTTAACCACTAGATCAACTGGAACCTCATAGTTGAAATAATAGACAAGGGCAATGAATAGATAAGGCAATGAAACTTGTGCTTAGAACTTGGTAGTATCACGGAACATCATCGAGACCATCTGAGCCAACCCACACTACATGATTTCTTCGAATAAGAAAAGGATTTCAGTAAAGGACAAATGTTTTCCAGACACCCATGAAATAGCAGCTTCTCCTACTAAAAGTACAGTGGAGAATAGGCCAGTATCCTGAAACCGCATAACTCATGAATGCCCCCTACCCTTTTTAAGGTGTGCCAAATTACAATCTAATACCACATTTCTGACAAGCCACACTTTGCAAAGAATCACATCTTAAAATGCTAAAAGATAATCCTGAAAAGAAACAACAGATGTAAAAGTTGCAAACCCTGATGCCAACTTGTTAAAATATTTTCACAGCTAAGTATAGAAAAAGAGAACATAATTTTCAATTTACAGCCACAGTTTATTTTATGCTGTGTGATTTATAACTGACTTGCTGTGTTTTGCATCTAGGTTAATCCTGTTTGCATCCTTAGATCCAAGATAAAAGAAACCATCTTTGGAATTTTTTTCTAATATAAGCAGTTGGAATTTTAATGGAAGCATGAATTGATAGCTGGGATGGTTTCAGTCTGAATTGTTAAGGGCTCAGCTGTGTCCAGAAATAAACTCAGAAAGATGCAATATACAATGTAATACATTTAGTTAGTACATTATGAACAAGGGATCTAATTATAGTTTCACATTCTTATATCCCTTGAGCTACTAGTGGTTTACCATGCCTAAATTGCTCACTATTTACTCATTCTATTTTACTATGAGGGACCCATTTAGCAAATTACTGCTCTAGTGCACTAAATGGGCCCCAGGTGGCTAAACTGAATTCGTATGTCCCCTGCTCTCTGGCAGGAAGATACCTTCTGATCTGTCTAAAGCCTTACCCCTCCCTCACAAAATTTACCATTTGAACTCTATCAAGAACTTAGATTGTCACTGTCATCTTAGGCAGTCCACTTTACAAATACACTTGATAGATTTTCAGATTTTAGTGCACCGTTTTAAGTCCCATGATTCTTTGTCTTTTCCTTATATCTCACATCCTGCCTCACAGAAATAAACAAATGTGTTATATTACAGCACAACAATGAAGTGTTAGACCAAGAAATAGAGACCTTGTAAGCCCCCCCTTCCAGGAACAATGTAAATCACCTGGAATATTCATTCAATGTAAATCACCTGGGACACTTCTGGAACAGATTTATTGAAATCGTATGTGTAGGTACCATTTACCCTGAGTAACTAGTTAGACAAAAATACCTGCCCTAAGGAAGCTTATATAAAAGCATTATCATTCTTTTTAAATCTTTAGCTAAAATTGACTTACTCTTTTTTTTTTTTTTTAATGTTTATTTATTTTTGAGAGATTGCATGCCCACAAGCAGGGGAAGGTTGGGGAGTGGAGCGGGGACAGAAGATCTGAAGCAGGCTCCAGGTGTTGACAGCAGAGAGCCTCATGCAGGGCTGGAACTCAGGAACCATGAGTTCAGGTCAGGAACCATGACCTGAGCCAAAGTTGGACGCTTAAACAACTGAGCCACCCGGCTGCCTCGACCTACTCTTTTCTTTTATATAAACAGTTCTTGTTTCAGGCAAATGGGAAATACGGAAATCTACATAGATTAGTTACATATTAGTGTATAAATATTTCTTCCCAAAGCATTCTTTGTTCTTTATCTTACGTAGGAATTCATTATACAATTGTTTAAATAGTGGGCCTTTATAATATTTACACATTTAAAATATATTCATTTTAAAAATCGATTTACACTCAGCTTTTTAGAAACTCATTTTGGATTCTAGTCTGTCCCATATGCC